TGGCTTGGCAAACCTCTCGGGGAGCCGATTCAACACGCTCATACAATGGAAAACTAACCCTGCGAAATGCAGGGCCCTTGCTTTCAGCTCAGGGGTGCGGGCAGAGGGGAGCTGGCGCGGGGGTGGGGGGCAGGCAGAGGGCAGCATCCTTCTCTCCCCCCAGCCCCAGACAGCCAATACACACCCCAGCCGCCCTTCAGACGCTGGCCCCGGCTGCATTGTCAGGTTAATTTGGGATAATGGCCTGCAAAGCACCTCAGCCCCATCCAGGTCTCATTAGCACTTGGTAATATCAAGCATCCTGAGGAATTGCGGCTCTTCCCCCTCCTCCCCAGGGCACGGAGCCCTGCACCCAGCCAGGGCCGGGTGTCCCTGGGCATGGGGACAGGACCTGCTCCTCTTATTACTCCATTGCCAAGCCTGTGGGGCAAAGCACCTCTCCCCCCATGGCCTGGGGGCTTTCCTGTGATTTATCACCCAGGATGATGTTTCCAGGCAAGGTCTGAATTAAGCCCACGCTGCAACGGGGCTCAGCAGGGCTGGATCCTGCCCCGGCCTTTCGACGGGGAGATGTTGTCCCTGATCCAAGCGGGGCTGCTCCTCGGTGTCACACCCCTCGGTGTCACATCTGGCCTCATATCTCAGCCAGATGTGAAATGAAGGAGTGGGTCCTGCTGCATCCCACCACCCTCACCCTCCCCGGGTGCTGGGGGCCCATCCACCTGCCCGGGGTCCTTCCAAATACAGCGTGGGTTGAGTCCACGAGTTGAGTCCGTGATGGGGCTACACCCAGCTGACAGCAAAGTCTGGGTGACCCCCAAAAAATAAGCTAATACCCTCCCGCAAGGCCTCGGAGGATGCTCCGTGGTCCTCCCGTCAAGCACAGACCTGAACACCACCGTGTTCACAGGGGTTGCAATTGCGGGTGTTAAGAGCATCCCGAAACCACGCATTTAAAATTAATTGGGAATTATAAACAAACTAAGCATTGAGGCAGCCCTGGTACAGGCCTGAGTGCCCGATCAGCCCGCTGCTCCCTTCAATTATCTTTTTTCTCCCACATTGTTCTCTCCTAATGAGGAGGCTAATGACCAAAGGATGGTTCATAAGTGGTTCCCAGACTCTCCTTGCCCAGGGCAAACACCGTCCACAATAGGATCACAAATTGTAGGGAGAAGCCCCGGCTGATCACATCAGAAACGGTGCGGGGATTTATCTCTCTGCCTTAACAATAACAGTATGTTCTTAATCGCCACTCCAAAGGGACAGCTAGCAGGGGATCTGCCCGGCCTCATCATTAAAAGCTGGCAGCATCTTTGCTAGCGCTGCCCCTTTGTTCATCTTTCATTATTCCAATGCTCCGGCCCCGTTAATTCCTCTCCATCTTATTAAATCAATAGAGATGGAGTGGGGGGAAGGATGAGGCAGAGCAGGGGTCGGATCTGGCGCGGCTCTCAGCAGGGGTGCTGAGTGGGAGCGGGATCAGACCCGGCCCGGATAAGCATGAGTCGAGCTGATACCACACGTGTCCAAGGCTGTATTTACCCGGCTCCTGCAGCTGGGGAAACTGAGGCACAAAAGCATCACAGCCTAAGTCCCAGGAAGAGGCACTTTATCTGACTGCCAGTCCTGCGCCTCCCGGCGAGATCCCCTTATTCATCCCGTACCATCAGGGCTTACTTGATTTAATGATTTAATCAACTTTTTAAAATAAAATCACACCTTCGCAGAGGGTGTCTGGTGCTAGGGCCCCTGGTACACCCCCAGTGAAAGCCCAGCCCAACTGTGCTGGGGCGGCAGTGCCACAGGGCCAAGGGATTTTGTGCCACAAACCATTTGCAAAGGGGGAGATGGTGCAGTTTTCATCATTTTTTCTCTTTTTCCTAACAGTTCGTCTCATTGAAACGAAGCAAACTGGTTTCTGGCAGGCCCTGCCATGTGCGTGGCTGGGAGCAGAGACGGGGAGGGATTTCCTCCCAGTCTTTCCATTTTTGAGGCTGGGATGGGAGGTGAGAAAGGAGCGGGGAGCAGGGGAGCCGGTGGGGTGAGCACCATCAGCTGTTTAAGAGCTGATGTGCCCCGTGGCAAACCCAGACCAGGGCTGATGGTGTTCCCTTAACAGACCCCGAATCACCCTGCGCAGCTCTACGCAGGATTTAGGGACGGCGCTGCTCGCTCTGGCTCTGACAGCGCTCAGTGCATGGTCCTGGTCCACAGCCCTGTGTTTCTTGTTGCAGGATAAATACCTTTTAAACCCGGGATTTTTAAACCCAGAGGTTTTGGCCGCTGCATTTCTCACCCCATATGAGGGGTTTCCTTAATCACCCCATTTCCCTGCTGCATTTCCAGGCAGGTCACCCCGTTTCACCCTTATTTTCATGCATCCAGGAGCTACTTCCCAGCTGAGAGTTTAATGCAAAGAATCGGTGCCTTTGCCCTTTGGCTGAGCAAGGCAGCTTGGGGCAAATTCATCCCAGAAAGACTGCAAACGTCGGGATGTCGTGGCGTTTCCTCCCATTGTTCGTGATGTCTTTTTTTATTTCCACTGAAACTGGGCAGCGCGGAGCCAGCAGAGCTGCCCGGCAGCCTCAGGAAGCTTTATTTGATGTTTCAATCGGGAATTAAAGGGGAGGGAGAAGCAGGGGGAAATGCTCCCTGACCATTTAACAAGATTACACGACGAGACGGAGCCTGGAAACATGCACAGTCAACCCCGGCGCCCCGTGTCCCGGCTTGGGTCGAGCTTTTGCCTTGAACCTCCGCCGCCGGCAGGTTGCCCTCCCCGGCACGCCGGCCCGTCCTCGGCACGCGGTAATCCCATTTAGCAAAACCCCACGAAAAGAGAGCGCGAGGGAGCAATCAGCCGAGGACAAGGGGGCTGCCGGCTCGGGGAAGGGATGCAAAAGGCGCCTGGGAAAGCGGCTGGGTCACGGGGACTGGGGGGCTGGAGGGGTTCTGCTGCTCCAGCATCCAAACGCCCCATCCTGCAAACTTCTACCGTCCTGAGTAAACGCGACTCGTGCAAACAAATCGCATCTGTCGCCATGTGCTCAGCAGGAATAATCCTGGCAGGAAGGACAGCGGGGAGGGGGACATGGAGGAGCCCTACGCTACAGCTCCACCCTCCACCCGGTTATCCCTTCTCCTATCTCTCCATCCATCTCCCATCCCACCCCATTTACGCAGCCACCCATTTGCACCTATCCGCCAGCGCCCTGCATTCATTCCCGATCATCCACCCATCTGCCTATCCACACGCAGACCAGGCTGTTCCTCTGGGCAAATAGTCCACCCTAATACATCCACCCACCCGTCTCACAACCTACCTGTCCTCCTACAGGCCGCCTACTTATCTACACAGCGGAGGTTTGCTGGGGAGGGCTCAGCACCGCATCTTTAGCAGATAACCTTTATCCTCTTAATAAGGCTGCTTAATTCTCACTTCCTTATAATTATCTGCCACCGAAAGCCAACCTGTTTTTTGCAGACAAGTGAAAAAAACCTGCCTTTAAGAAAGCGATGTGATACGCAGGATTGGGAAGGGACTAGTGGGGTTTTTGGGATGTGCATGGGGTTTGGGTAAAGGCACGCAGCCAGAATTTCTTATTCTGTACAGGCTTTCCTGGGGCATGAGAGGAGCCAGGGCTCTGTCCCTGGTGGGCTGATCCAGCCCAAGACCTTGCCAAGCTCTCGCAGCACCTTTCTCCCTTATTTTCCAAATCACTGTGCCCGGGTTTGACCCTAATCCACGTGCCCCGCTTGAGCTGCCAGGAGTTGGGCTCAGCTGCAAGACCTGCTCCCTGGACTGGGGAGGGAGATGTCTCCCATGGGAGAAGAAAACTGCATTTCTACCCCCTTTCTGGGATGCCAGGGCCAGTGGGGGCTTGGCAGGGTATAAAATGACCCAGCTGAACCCAGCTTTTCTGAAAACCATCAACTCCATCCCATTATCAGGGTCAGACCTGGCGTTTGTCTCTTCTCATCCCCACCGGAGCAGTAATCGGCTGCTTTGTCCTGCAGATACGGTCCCTTCCCCACCCTAAGGAACCTGCAAACAGGTTACTCACTGGGTGGGAGGAAGGCAGGGGATGGCCTTCCCCGGCACCTGGCTGTCCCGTGGCAGGTAGGAAAGGGGACCCTGAGCCCTGTGCACCCCCAGGGACCTGCCACCCCCTCAAGGATCATCACCTGCCATGAGAGAAGGCTCCCAGCCAAAGCCCAAGGTGCCAGAGGGATGGATGTGGTTTAATTAATCTCGTATAAAAGTCACCTTTTGAAAAACTCAATCAAGCCCACCAGTTTTAATTAAAGTCATTCCTGGTCGGAGATGCTGCCCGCAGAGGGGTCCGAGCTGGGCAGACCCTGCAGGAGCATCCCCTCAGTTTTAATTAAAGTCATTTCCCTGGTGGGATGCTGCCTGCAGAGGGGTCCGAGCTGGGCAGACCCTGCAGGAGCATCCCCTGGAGAGGGGACGGGTCCCCCGCTGCCTGCCCCGGAGGAGCCTGGCACCGCCGAAAGGCCCAATCCTGCCCGAGGCGGAGCACTGCCAGCTCCCAGGGGATTAAAGGTGTCCTGAGAACAACTTAACTCTCGCAATCAGCTCGGCCCCTGGCCGGGCGATATTAAAACATTCCCCATAAGCCCTGTTGTCTCGGGGATGATCGCAATAAACCCACTGGCATGCGAGATTAGCGGGTTAAACCCGCCGGCGCAGCCTGGGCTCTCGGCAGACATGTGAAGACATTAGCACAGTTTGGGCTCTTTGAGACGCGCTGGCTAATCCCGGCTCTGAAAACAGCCGGAACAAAGGGCAGCTTCCGTCACATCGTCCCCTTCTCCTGGCACCATCCCCTTCTTCTTGCACTGTCCTCTCTCCTTGCACCATCCCCTTCTTAATTGTCCCCCCTCTCCTTGCATTGTCCCCCTTCTCCTTGGATCATCCCCTTCTCTTTGCCTCATCCCCTCTCCTTGCATCAGGTTTCATATCTGCCCAAATAAACCCTCCACCTGGGTCCCTTCTTTCTCCAGCCCCAAGCCCAGAGCAGACATGGCGAAAATAGGGTTAGCAGGAGCTGGTGCTGCCCAGGTGAGCACCCAGATGTCCCCATTGGTGCTCTTATCTAGGAGGTCCAGGGCCGTTGGTACTCGCTTGCCCCCCATGGAGCCCACCCTTGGCTCATCCCCAGGCCAGTGTCCAGCCCAAACCTGATGGATTTGAAACCTCTACATCTGCCCTAGCAGGGCCAAGCAATTAAAAGTAAAACCTGCTAATCTTCGCCCAGCAGAGACGGCACCCCAGGTGCCCAGCTCACAAAGCCACCACCAGCTCTGCTCTCCAGGTGCGTTTTCCCTACTTTCCTGACTCCAAAAAGCCCCGGAGAGCGGGCTGCCGTCACTGGGTCGGGATGTGTGAGCTGTGGGCAGAGCAGGGTGTTAACGGTGAAGATGCTGCTGGCAGGAAGGAAGATGGAGATGGATGGACCATGAGATCGAGGTCCTCTACAGGGACCTGGGGTCTGTGAAGGTCCTGAGCTATCTTAGAGCACAAGGAGGGATCTGAGCACCCAGCGCCTTTAGGATGAGCCTGGCTATGGGGCTGATTGTGGGTGGGGTGCACGGGTGGCCCCCACTCCCCTGGGCCTCCAGGGCTTGCTCCCATGAACAAGCCCCCACTGAACGTTTGCTGCCACTGCAGGCATGTGTTGTTCCTCCTCCTCCTCCTGCAAAGATGAGCCCAAGAGCTGCATAAATAATTTATTTTCGCACTGCAAAAATAATTGGTGCCCTGTATATATTAGATACGCTCATTGTCAGCTATGATACATTCATATAATACACACGGAAAAGCAGCCCGAAGGGGCGATTCAGCAGCTCTTTGCCACAGTCTGTGCAGTTGCTGTCCCTGAGCCCGGGGAGGAGGCCGTGTCCTCCTGGCCGTCCTCCGGCTCCGCTGGGAAGTCTTTGTCCTCCTCGCCGTGGTGGCTCTGCGAGTCGGGGCTCCTCTGCGGGGTGGCCAAACCCATTTTGGCCAGTTTGGCTTGTTGCTGTTCCAGGCTTTGTTTCCTCCACTTGATCCTCCGGTTTTGGAACCAGACTTTCACCTTAGGAAGAGGTAAAGCTCGTCTTTCAAACCTGGTTTCTCCATGGACCATGGGGTCATGGTCTGCTAAACCCCCGTGGCTCAGGCAGTGCCCAGACACCCCGCAAACCCTTCGGTGCCCGCAGCCTCAGACATCTCCTGGCTGGCCAGGACAGAGGTCCCCTGCTACGCTCTGTCTCTAGCAAGATGGAAAACTGTCCCCTGCAACCCAGGAGCTGAGCGTGCATTGGTAAGCTGGGACCTGCCAGTGGTGGAGAAGGTCCAGCCTTTAAGATGGACACAAGTTCAACCCCTCCACGTGGCCCTAGGACAGCCACTTTGTGACTCAGTTTCCCCATCTGTGATCCTCCACCCTTTTAATGTAAACTATCTGCAATTACTATCCCACACAGCTCCTGCCCCAGGCCGAGGGACATGGCCCAGGTCCCACCCATTGGCACGCAGGTTTGGGAGCCTCCCTGGACCTGCTGGTGGGGGCAGGTGGAGGTGGAGATGGAGCATGGTGGGGCTTACCTGCTCTTCGGTGAGGTGCAGGGAGGAGGCGAGCAGGCACCTCTCCGTGCCCACCATGTACTGCTGCCGTGCAAACTCCTTCTCCAGCCGGGCCAGCTGGTCACTGGTGAAGATGGTCCGGACTCGCTTGGCTTTGCCGGTCTTGGCTTTGAAGATGGGGAAGCAGCACTTGGAGATAAGGAAGCCTGAAGGTGAGAGAGAGAGAGGGGAGGTCAGGGTGGATAGGCGACCTTGGAGGGGTCTCCTTTAGAGTGGGGTCCCCCCTTGGAAGGTCCTTTCTTGGAGAGGTAGAAAGGATCTTCCCATTTGGAGGTGTCCCCTTTGGAGAGGTGAAGGGGTCTCTTTGGAGGGGGTCCCCTATTTGAAGAGGTGGGAGAGGGTCCTCCATTTAGAGAGGATCTCCCTGGAGAGGTGAATACAGGTCCCTCTTGTAGAGAATCCCTTTGGAGGGGATCCCCATGAAGAAGTAGAAGGAACTCTGCCATTTGCAGATGTCCCCCTGAGAGAGGCCAGAGGGTCTCATTTGGAGGGGCAGAAGAGGGTCCTTGTTGGTGAGATCCCCTTGGGAGGAGGCAGAGAAGGTCCCCCATTTGGAGACATCTGAATGGGAGATGTGGACAGTGGTCGTCCCCCTGGAAAAGGTCCCCTTGGGAGAGAGGTCCCCCATTTGGAGAGGTGGGCAAGGCCCCCCCCCCCTTGGAGAGAGGAAAGGAGGTCCGCCATTTGGGGGTGTCTCGAGAGAGGTGGGCATGGGTCCCCCCCCTTGCAGAGGTGAAAGGAGATCCCCATTTGGAGATGTCCCCATGGAAGAAGTGGATTCAGGGCCTCGTTGGAGACATCCCCTTTGGAGGGTGTCCCCTTGAGGAGGTAGAAGGAGATCACCGTTTAGAGATGTCTCCATGGGAGAGGTGGATAGGCCCCCCCCCAGAAGAGGTCCCCTTGAGCGGTGTCCCCCATTTGGAGAGGTGGCCGAAGGTCCCCCCTTGGAGTGATGGAAGGAGGTTCCCCATTTGGAGATGTTCCCATGGGAGAGGTGGATGTGGGTCCCCCTGGAAGGGATCCCCTTGGCAGGGGTCCCCCCTTGGGGAGCCGGAAGGAGGTCCTCATTTGGGGGTGTCCCCACGGGACGGGCGGAGGGGGGGGTCCCGGTGCGGGCTGTCCGGGGGGGGGT